GAGGAGTTGAGGGCATGGCTTGTGGAGTGATTTTTTCTAAATCCGTACTGGTTCTCATATTCTGCCCTCCTAAAAGAAAACAATCCTATGAAACATTCATTTTGGGAGGCCAGCCCATCCAACACACCGAAAAATACTGCTATCTTGGCATTATATTCCACAGAAATGGATCTTTTACAGCAGCAAATACTGAACTGAGGGCCAAGGCTCTCCGTGCTCTCTATGGCCTCAAAGGCAATATCGTCAAAGATGCCCTCTCTCACCGTTCCCTAAACATTCTATTTGACTCTCTAATAAAACCGATACTGCTCTATGGCTGCCAAATCTTATGTCCTCACTCAAAAACCATGAGATACCTCTCCAAAACAGATAGCAAAGCCAACCCCCAGCATACTCTCAGGTACATCTCACAAGACCACTATGAAAGATTCCACCTTAGGTTTATCAAGTGGTCCTTGTCTGTCCATTCAAAAGCATCAAATATAGGCTGCTGGGGCGAAAGTGGGCGCCACCCCCTCTTCTTTGAAGCCTGCAAACTTGCAATAGATTTCTATAGTCGTCTTGAAAGCACTGAAAATGAACTCCTCTCCGCTGCATTTCACGAGCAGATTATGCTGGGCCTTCCTTGGTACACCAACATCACTAATCTTCTCACCAAATATAACTTCCCCCACTCATCCTCTTCAAAATCCAAGCTCTCTACCCAAATCAGTCACAACATGAGGGAAGAATTTGTGGATACCTGGAAATCTGCCAAGGCATCCTCACCTAAATTAGAATTCTACAATCAAATTAAACATGATTTTGAACCAGAAACATACTTAGGAGTGGTTAAGATCCCCGATGCTCGGAAAAGCTTAACAAGGTTTCGTATTAGCTGCCACAATCTTTACATTGAGAGGGGCCGTTACGAAACCCCCCTAGTACCAAGAGAACATCGATGGTGCACTTTTTGCTTTTTCAGCAAGGGGCTTAAGCCTATTGAGGACGAAATTCATGTTCTAACTGACTGTTTACTCTACTCCTCAGTTAGAGAAAAATTTAACTTCCATCCCAAAAATATTACTGACCTAGCCGGTTTGCTATCCGATAAAACACTAGACCCTACAAAATTTACTGCCACAGCAAGAGCAATCCATTCAATTCTCTCTGTGAACGAAAATTTTACAGCCTACTATAAGAGCCCAGATTTCCACTCAAATACTGGCCAATGCATAATGCTATAGGACCTCAAAAATAGTATTATAAAACATTTCTATTTTATCCCTACACATTTGTAAATAACTAGAATTGTGTAACCTTAAATTATTTCAGAATTATAACTATTGTGAATTCAATAAAATAATTATCACTTTTGTATCCTTGTATCCTTGTATCCTTGTATCCTGGTTCTCGTAAATCATTTTCTGGGACTGAAAGAAGCTATACAGTCTGTTGTAAATAATTTTTTCAAATATCTTACCAAAAACAGCTAAGGTTGATACTGGCCTATAGTTTTCCAGCAATTCCTCATTATCCTTCTTGTAGATCGGACTGATTCTCCCAGTCTTTAAATCATCTGGGAATACTCCATTCCTCATGCATTCACTGTATAATAAAGATAGTATAGGACAGATCACTTTAGACGATTCTTTAACTACATGTATTGGGATGTCGGATGACTTCCCATTCTTCAGTTCAGATATAATCATTCTAACCTCGTCAGCTGTACAGTCATTCATGAAAATACTGGACGTGTTTGCTCTAGGCAGGTAGTCATAAAAACTAGGAAGATTGTTAATAGTTAGTTCTCCAATTTCATTATATGCCCCGTTTAAATTAGACGCTAGAGAAACAAAATACTTATTAAATTCATTGGCTATTACTCTACGATTGGTTATCTTCTCATTGTTTATAGTAAACAGTGGTTTTATTTGCCGTTTCTGTTTGCCTCGTATTTGATTAATCAGTTCCCATGTCTTCTTACTATTACCGTTTGTGTCTGCAAATTTTCCCATAAAACACTTAGTTTGAACATCTTTGCGATCTTTTTTAACCATCCTTCTATAATCCTTATAAGTTTTGTATCTAGAACGTTTTTCACAACATTTCAAGCATTGACATGTTCCACCTTTATAATCAGTTTCACCAAGTTTACATTTTTTCTTTCTAACTTTAGCCCAATTGTCATAGAGTTGGTGCTGATGGTTGATTTTGGCTATAAGACCAGGTGTGATCCATGGGTTATTTTGTGTAGTTCTTTTGGAAGACTTAGGGGTTGCCAACTTACACGTTTTATCGATACTACTTTTGAAAACATCATGAAATACTGTGAAGTTGTCAATTACTTTATTCTCTAATTCATGTTCCAAGTCCTTTACAAAAGAGGTAACATTAGACTTACAGTAGTCGTAATACTGTTTATATTTTAGGTTACTCTTAGTGGATCCCATACTCTTTTCAAATATTTGAAAGACTGGTGAGTGGTGGGATATACGATCAGTAAGTGTGCCTGAGGCTATTATACTCTCTACATCGTTAGTTATAATATTGTCAATACATGATGCTTTACAACCTGGCTTCTCATGAGTTGGCAGAGATATTAGGGGGAAAAATCCTCTACTGAACAGGACTTCCTCATAACGTTTTACAATCGCATTATCCTTATTATGTAGATCAATGTTGAAATCACCTGCCAGGTAACTGCATTTCGGCAAATTATCGAGAATTGCTGAGAGTTCTAATAATGCAACATTTACATCACCACTTGGAGGGCGATAAACTACACCAACAGTGACCGGAGTATTCTTGCTGCTTATCGTAACAAATAGAGTTTCTAGGTTTTCAGATATATGGGACAAATTGCCATTTACTGTAGCACTGAGGGTATCACATACATAAAGAGCGACTCCAGTGCCTTTTCTTTTATCTTGCAAAGTGTTTTGGTAGAAACTATTGTATCCAGTCAGTTGGTAAAGGTCACTTAATTCGGGGCCTTCATTTGTTTCTACTAAAGCAATGATCGAAAATTTCATATATCTCTGTAGTTCTATTGCCAGAGTATCAAAGTTAGATTTATTACCATCGATATTTTGAAATAATAATGATGAGTACTCGTTCATTTGGTTGCAAAATGTTTTATTAAATTCTTTAACACTATATGGGTTACAGTTATTGAGTAATCGGTTGATGTTTACAAGTGTTTCATCAATGTCAGTACTATTATTTTCAGAGTCAGTATCTTCATATATAAACGGATTGTAACGAGTACTTGCTAAGTGTACACAGTTAGGGCAGTAAAAATCTTCATATATTTTGTTTGTACTGGATTTAGTATAGCATTTATGGTGCATAGCACAGTCACACCTACAACATTCAGCAATGAATTGGCCAATGGAAATGAATTTTGTACAGACAGGGCATACCTCTTTGGTTAATTTATTCATGGGTACGGTACGTAACCTTCCCCTTGTTGAGTCGCAGCAGCAGCAGGAGAGGAACCACCCATCGTCTGGGAGTATAAGCGACTGTCAACTTTATCCGATCTCTTCTTCCTTCTATCAGTCCCTCCATTCATCCTTAAAAGTATTGTATCACGTATAAGAACCCCCAGTTTTGCTGTACCACTCCAATTGAGGTGTAAATAGTCCGGTCTCTGGTTTCGTCCAATGTTCCTAGAGAATTGCTGGCTTAGGAGCCCAGCCTCATCACAGAACATGTCAAAACCAGGTACCAAAGTCACACCAAAGTTGGAATGAAGCAGCTCCTTAAAAATTAATCCATTATAATGTACAACTTTCCGATTTAGCTCAACGAGTTTGGTTGGCAGCAGCGGACACACAAATATATTCGCTTTGGGGTTAAGCGCTTGGATCATTTCTACTTTCTGAACAAATGGTGTAAAAACATTGTTCTTTATATCAGCGGTATTTTTGATCTCAGGTTTCCTGATATCATTTATACCACACATCAAGAGAACATTCCTGTATCCACATGAAACTGTAGGATTTATATCCCCCACTACCGGAGCAAAATACTGTTTTCCGGGGAGCCACTGCCCAAATGATTTTTTGGGGTCCAGCCCAAATTTGAGACCACCAGTATAAAACTACGATTTTTGTAAAACTAATGCAGCTCTAACTTCTACACCTAGCATTCTGATGCTAACTGGACTGATGTCTGTCAATTTTTTGACTGATCCAAATCTCATAAATTTTCCATTTGGGGCAGTAAAAAGCCCAGCCCAGTCCGTGGAATATTTATAAAACAATTGATCACATGCGTGGTATCTTGGATGCAATTAGTGCTGACTGTTAAGTGTTAAGTGTTAACTGGGTTCAGAAGCGGTCACATGGTTGTATGGATATACCAGCATGTCAATCAACGCTAGTCGTAACTCATTGCAGCCAAGATGCCATTGCCGTGATGCGTTTACCATCATGATCATGCCATACGTAGTCTGCGGAATGATGTACTATTTTGTTTTCCTTAATGATTTTGAGTTGATTATTCGAATTTTGACTCTACAAAATTGTGATTCTTTAATGTCTCCGTTGTGAATGAACAATGACCAATCATGGTGAGGCTCAATTTACAACTTTTTAATTTTGGCTTTACTTTGACAAAAAATTGGGTAATCTTCCATAGTTGATCCCAAAATCCGAACTCCCAACGCATCCAAACATCTGTTTTTGTGTGTTAAAATGCTTGCAGGTAGTTGTCTGCCCTTTTGGTGAATTGTTATACATTTTTTGTTTCTGTAAAATGTGCTAAAAATTAAATTTCTTGTTTCATTGAACAATAGCAATCTTTATATCTCAACAAATTGTATATTATTGGATAATTCAGGTACTTTTATCCATTTGAGAATATTTTGACCCCTGTAGTAAGTCCATACATCTATAATACTGGATGGGGCCTACTATAATACATTTTACCCTGATTGATGATACACATTATATGGATTGTTTATGCCCATCAATGTATATAATAATGCACCAATCATATTTTAAATTGTAATAAGTAACTGAACTATGTTATGTCCATGAATAGCCCTGCTACCCAGTAAGAATAGAGAGATTAGCTTTGGTTTTCAACAAAAACGTGTGTAGCTCCTTTATATGAGTGACGAAGACGCAATGCAAAGTGACTCCCCTCAAAACTTGAGAAATCGCAAAAAAGACAGGGTAGGCTGTTTGATTGAATTTCCTGTTTTAAAGGCCCAGGTTTACAGCATTGAGAATGTTTTTATCTTAAGAAAAGTGTGGAAATTTTTGAGAATGATCCAGTTGTGGAGTTTCTGGTCACTAAAATTCTTGAGATTCTGTGTGGAATTAATCCTTCCTTCATATAGTAATGAGTCATGTGCAATTTTATGTGGCAGTGCTGGCAATAACTTGATCAATTGATTAGCTGTACAATGTACTCACAGCTACCTTCTAAGGAGGAGGACGAAGATAGCGCACCAACACCGGCTCCACCTCAACCACCCTCCAACAAGTTAGTTTCTTTCTTAATCTGTTGACATAATAAAGAGGATCTTGGTAACCCGAGTCAATTAAAAAGTATTTATATTGTCAAACATTTCATGATATGATAATTGTTAAAACCACATTTTTATGAGTATTCTTGATTATTAAATTAAGTAGAGCATGAATGTGAAGCTCGATATGATTTATAAAATATTGCATAATTGAATTATAATTTATTTGACTAACACAGTGCAGTACAAACTTTAGCATAGCACCTGAAATTTGAGAATCAGCCAGTGTGCAGTGGAAACAAAAATTCGTTACACTATCTGGCTGCATGATAAGAAGAATCTAGAATCCCAGTGTACATGATTCAGGGACAAATAATAAAATGTTGATCTGAATAAACATTAATTGAGTTAATTTGTTATATTACCGGTTATCTGCTTAGGTGGAAGAATGCCTGGACGAGATTCCTGTTTTCTATTCCTATGATCGGGGGTTTTATACTAATTTTATGGCTGGGGCCCTTCTATGTGGCACTACTGGTATGTTATTAATTCACGGGTCACTTGATAATTTGAACGAATTGTTATGTTGAACTAATTTCTGCCATCCTATCTTTTGATGATTTTACATGTGTTTTCGTTAAGGATATCTACCGATATTTGTAATCTTATCTGACTCCAAATGGTTTGGTAATTGAAACCGGATATTGTTTATATATCATAACATATGCTTTACGAGACTATATGTTACACTCTTCTAATATAAGGTTGTTAGTTTACAAGTGAAGAGTTTCCACGAGCTGATGGTGATCGGGCACAGCAAATACTCCTCCCTCGAACTCCCTTGGTATCGAGTTCTCAACTGGTAAGTTTTAATTTGGGCTAATGTTATGATTGGGCACAACAATTACTCAATTACTCCTCAATTACTCCTCAATTAGTCAATTACTCCTCGGTAAGTGTTTAAATCTCATTGTTTTGATAATTGTTAACGAAATTCTACCTGGTACATACTGGTTAGTGTCCAGACACTAGCCAAGCATGAACAGATAGGCTAATTTGATAAGTGATGAATGAGCGCCTTGCCAATACCACTTCTTGTAACAAGTAGTGTAGAAAAGTGTAACAGCTGTATTAGTCCGTGCCAAATCAAGCAACAATATTGTGCGAAAAATCAGACATTTACTATCACTTGATAAACACAGAAACCGTCGTGAAGTTGTAAATTACACATGTTACACATTCTAACATTACACATTATTGTATGTGTTAGTATTTTGTAAAGTAAAGTAACAAAATTAAAATAAAGCTGAGTTATTTAAGTAAATATTTATATTAATATAATATATTATTTATTTAAATTTAAAAACTTTTCAGGTACTTTCTGGGGGTGGCTAACTACTTTTTCTTTGGAGAAAGTCTCACTTCCTACTTTAGAAATCTCTTTATTGGCGAGGTTAGTTTGTTTATATAATATACGTGTGTGCAGTGTGCAGTGTGCTTTTATCTCAATAAAAGTATACACTGAATAAAATACATATAATATATTAATTATTATGATATGTATTTTATTCAGTACACACTTCTATTGAGATAAAAGCAAACACTTTTATCAGTACATGCTAGTTTCTGAGCTTTAACAAAAGTGAATTTCAAAGTAAAACATGATAGTTTGATAAATTTGTAGTTAACATTTATATTCGTATAAAATTTATATACTATTATCTATATAATATATTCTCATGCATGACATTGAGTAATGGCTAAGTGAAGAGTTGAATTACCGATTGTAAGAGTTGAAAATGTCTAAAACTGATTACATGAATATCCGTTGTGGAGATAATAGTGTTACTTTCAATAAAATAGCACTAGATATGAATTAGAGAGCTAAACCTTTATACCCGAGGCGATAAATTACATAGTTCGAGAGAGGTGGAATTAGGCAACATATCAGTGGGCCAGATCTGTGTAGACATGAACTTAACTAAAGCTAATGATCTAGTAATGATAGGGTTTTTGACGTAACGTCACGTCACGTGGTGTGACGTCACGTGTTGTGACGTCATACCACGTGACGTCATACCACCTTTACTAATGCCTCGCTGTTACATTGGGCCGTGTGGTTACACATCCTGGTATATAATATCAGCTGGGTACGGTGATAATGGAAGTTAGACATAATTCTACCAAAACAAGCTAACCTGCAATACGCAGCACTGAATTTAATTACAGTTTATTTCTAGCAGATTTCATTCACGTAATAGTGAGAAAACACTCTTTACACATAATAATACAATTGAAACTATCAGAACTAGTGAACAAACGATTGGTTTCATGACACAGATGAAACACTGCAATACCAATCATCTATTGTTTCAATTGTAATTGTTCTCCTGCTAGTTGAACAATGTGTGGGAATTTAAAACAACCTCTAATTTAAATTACAGTAAAACCCCGGTTCACGGTACACTTTGGGGGAAAGAAAAGTACTAGTACAGCAAATCGGTTTACACAGAAGTAGGTATTATTATATTATATCAGAATGCCATGTTGTAATAAACACTTTTATTTGACACACTCCCTTTTCAGGACTACCTAAACAAGCTGGCGAACTATCACCGCTTCATCTCTTACTGGCTCTACTTAGGAGGTGAGTTATGAGTTTTGTAAGCAGAGTTACTAGCTTATTATCTTTACATTCTCCCCTCTACATTGAAGAATGTGTAGTGTGGTCAGGTGTGGTTTATTAACTAGTTCACGTGCCCAAGTGCCCACGTGCTCACCGTGTTTTACACCTCTAATAATTGTACAATGACACCACGTGACAGGATCTCCTCACACAATACTGAGTCATATACAATACCTAGTCACTATATAACGTGAGATTCTGTAGAAGTCCAGCTATTAATTAAAACATGTGCGCGGTTGCACTCGACAGTAAACAGGAGCTGTGTGTTTGTGTGTGTGTTTGTGTGTGTGTGTGTGTGTGTGTGTGTGTGTGTGTGTGTGTGTGTGTGTGTGTGTGTGTGTGTGTGTGTGTGTGTGTGTGTGTGTGTGTGTGTGTGTGTGTGTGTGTGTGTGTGTGTGTGTGTGTGTGTGTGTGTGTGTGTGTGTGTGTGTGTGTGTGTGTGTGTGTGTGTGTGTGTGTGTGTGTGTGTGTGTGTGTGTGTGTGTGTGTGTGTGTGTGTGTGTGTGTGTGTGTGTGTGTGTGTGTGTGTGTGTGTGTGTGTGTGTGTGTGTGTGTGTGTGTGTGTGTGTGTGTGTGTGTGTGTGTGTGTGTGTGTGTGTGTGTGTGTGTGTGTGTGTGTGTGTGTGTGTGTGTGTGTGTGTGTGTGTGTGTGTGTGTGTGTGTGTGTGTGTGTGTGTGTGTGTGTGTGTGTGTGTGTGTGTGTGTGTGTGTGTGTGTGTGTGTGTGTGTGTGTGTGTGTGTGTGTGTGTGTGTGTGTGTGTGTGTGTGTGTGTGTGTGTGTGTGTGTGTGTGTGTGTGTGTGTGTGTGTGTGTGTGTGTGTGTGTGTGTGTGTGTGTGTGTGTGTGTGTGTGTGTGTGTGTGTGTGTGTGTGTGTGTGTGTGTGTGTGTGTGTGTGTGTGTGTGTGTGTGTGTGTGTGTGTGTGTGTGTCGGCAGGTCTAATAATCAATAATCTACAGAGCTTGACTGGCATTAAGCTGGAAAAATATGATGGAATGTACGCGGAATTTGTAGTTACATTCCATAATATATTAGTGCACAATAACTGTAGCTCTTTCTTCCTGCAACTTCCCTGGTCCACTGTGTGTACCACTACTGCGTGTATCATGGTTGTGTAACGGGTGGCCGACAACTGAACCCAATTGAACATAATTCCCACTTACCAATCAGCTTAATTGGTTAGGGTTAGGGTTAGGGTTAGGGTTGGGGTTGGGGTTGGGGTTAGGGTTAGGGTTAGGGTTAGGGTTAGGGTTAGGATTAGAGTTAGGGTTAATCTAAATGTCTTAATTGGGTTCAGTTGTCCGGTAGCCTGTGTAACACACTTCACTCAATATTCATATCAATAACAATAATACTAGCTATCTTATCATATCTGTCACACATTTAAGTTATATTATTGTTACACTGAGTTTTAATCTCTATTAAGTTTAAACATAATTAATTGATTGTGATTTTTGTATAACGTAAATGTATCATTATATTCTTTTCTTCAGGTTTTATTGTGTTTGTTCTGAGTTTGAGAAAGAAGAAGTACACTGTCCAGTTTACCTTGGTAAGTTATTAAATATTAGGATTACTAAAGTAACCTAAAGTAAGTAATTAGTAAATAATAATGAAGTGTTACCATAGTGACCAACTAATTAACTATTGCAACCATGATAACCAATGTAGATTACCACTATAATATATGTAACATTATTGTAAACTCTATCCACGTGGGTATTGGGTAATGATGGAGTATCAGAACTAGCTTGTTTTGACACGTGACAAGGATTAACCAATCAGCTTGCAGCATTGCTGTCACGTGTCAAAAGAAACTTGTAACGTTAGAGCTACTTATGTTGCTGCTGAAACGTTCGACTAAATAATTGCAGCTCCGCGACCTGGAAAGTTTACGAGGATACTGTTTCAAGTGATCATTGTAGACGGCCATAATGTAGTGTACATATATCACCTCTAAATTAGACTATATGATACATTGTGTGGTGTGACGTCATGTCACGTGGTGTGACGTTATGTCACATGGTGTGGCAGACTGTACATTCTGTATACAATATAAACCGATAATGTGGTGCACGGAATTAACACGTTTTCAAGCAGTGCGGCAAGTAAGAATTCTATACTAGTTAGTGTAGGCAGGATACTACGCTACCTTAGTGATGTATATTATGCTAGCTAGTGTATCAGTGACGTCACAACTTACCCTGTTACGTGTTCTATGCTACGTTAGTGACGTCATTGTTAAGAGAGTGACGTCATTGTTAAGAGGGTATTGTGTTAATTCTGAAATACAGATATATATTATAGATAGACTGTCAGCTGTAGTAAGTGGTAGTGTTCTATATTACAGTTACTACTCGAGCGAGGGACTCCATAAGTCAATAAACTGAAATCCATAGACCCCTTTACAAATTATTCGTCACTGATTGGATAATAGGTGATATGATTTCTGAGGAAGCCAGATAAGAGGCGTACTTTATGGTCTGTGGTCAGTTTTATTTTCGTTAGTTAGAACTTAGATAGGAAGTTGTGTTTAATTGCCAAATAATCATGATCTTTGTATAACATCAATACCATCAATATTACAACTCGGTTATCGTAACCACTGACCCCTTTATCTTCATCAATGAGTTAGTATTGCTGAATATGATACTTGTTTTGTTGAAATGTATTAAACTGGTTTTTTATGTCTTATTTTGGTATATCAGTTCGGCTGGACGCACTTAGTGTTAATGCTAGTGGTGGTGTCCTCTACACTGATCGTACAGAACATGTTTAACGGAACCTATTGGTAAGAAGTGCACTTGTCTCCCTGGTGCCAGTGTGCATCGCCTCCCCCATTTATTGTCAGTGTCTTGTCAGTGTTACAGTGTGATATATTAAGTGTATACATTCTACTGTTCTTTTGATCTGGATTCAAACTGGATAATTTGCATTTGTTGCATAGTAAGAATTGAGAGCGACATCTCTTTTGTCAGTAAAGTTGTAAATATATGCACGTCAAGCTGGGAATGTATGATTATTCTAACACTATAACTGATATTTTATGCGAATTATAATGTGATATAAAAATGTGTCGTTAGTTAGTAAACTAGGGGTAGTTTTAGTTTTATAAGTTGTAGTTTAGTTTATAATGTATAAAACTTGTGTAGCAGTGCTCTCTCATGATTGTGATGCAGTAATAACAATACTATGTTGTATAACACAACACCTGTATACTGTATAGTGTACACTGTCAACAGTATAAGCCTGATTTTTGCCAAAGCTTATATCCAAAAATCAAGGGACGAGCAGAATAGGGTTGCACTATATTGCATTGCCCTGTGTTCCACTCTGCTACACTGGTTTGCACTGTGTTGCGCCGTATTGCACTGTGTTGCGCCGTATTGCACTGTGTGCGCCGTATTGCACTGTGTTGCACTCGATTGCAACGTAAAGTGCCGTATTGCACTGGGTTGTACTCGATTGCAATTTGAAGTGTCGCATTGCACTGTGTTGCACTCGATTGCAATGTGAAGTGCCGTATTGCACCGGGTTGCACTCGATTGCAATGTGAAGTGCCGTATTGCACCGGGTTGCACTCGATTGCAATGTGAAGTGCCGTATTGCACCGGGTTGCACTCGATTGCAATGTGAAGTGCCGTATTGCAATGCGAAGTGCCTTATTGCACTGTGTTGTACTCGATTGCAATGTGAAGTGCCGTATTGCACCGGGTTGCACTCGATTGCAATGTGAAGTGCCGTATTGCAATGTGAAGTACTGTATTGCAATTTGCACTGTGTTATATTGTGCTCCACAGTGTTGTGATGTGTAATATTCTCAGTTCGGGTGGACGCACATAGTGCTGTTGTGCTGTGTCGTACAATCTCATCTTATCATACAGAACTGCTTTGAGGGGCTCTACTGGTTTGTAGCTCACATCTCTTTTATTGTGCATACCACACTAGATACCACAAATCATATACGTCACTGCATATCAAATACTGAATTACTAATCGTTGCTGGGCAGCTCAGTGGCAAGATCCGAACTTTTCTAGCGAAAGTTTTCACTCTCACAATCCCCGATTTGTCTTTTTACTAACTCGGTCAGTTGAAGCTTAGGATGTATGAGTCATGACACCGTATTGAAGCTTGGTTGCCAGCCTAGCCATATTTTAATTGGAAACCGTGATTGAGACTTAAACGGCTGGTTGCAAACGTGCAGTGAGGCCTTGGTTCGCATTTAGATTTAAATAGCAGGAACCCGTATAACCCTAAAATGGTGTCAAGACTCAAGAGACTAAAACAATTATACCTGTTTAATTCGCGTTTTTGACACCACTTGGGGGTCCAAATTTTGGGCTCTAAAACTCCTATTTCTTGGCCTATTTTTTATTTTTTCATGCTGATTTAGAGGCCATTAAAGCATTTGGCCCAGTCAAAAAAGTTTCAGTTTTATATCTTTTACGGCTTTACGGTTTTTGCGGAACGTCGTGTTAAAGTCTGATGCCGTGGTGTCAGTAAAATGGTACGGATCCATATATTATATCGTCTCGCTTTATATATAGTAAGATTATACATATTAATCCTGTACTCTACCAGTCACCTGAAATTAACACAGCTTTGTAGCCGGTTAATATTCTGATAGGCGATGTACTAAGGCAAATTAATATTATCTGGTAGTCTTGTAGCAGGGCAGCACTGAGATTTGAACCCACAACCTCTTGATTGTGAAACAAAGGATCTAGCTACTGAGCTACCTGGTCATATCACTGTGATTCTTCTAATTAATTTGCATGGATTGAGAAGCTGAGTTTTAAAGAATTCATAATTGTCTAACATTATTATATCACACTTAATACATGTTTGAATATATTATATTATGTGTGATACGATTGCTGCATGAAATGATAGCACATGTGTTTTTACATTGCATGTTAATGATTTTTATTATGTATAACTTTACGAGTGTACTACATTATTACATGTAATTAGTATAATTCATAACATGACATTACATGTTTTGATAGCTCGCACTAATGTCTACCAAGACACATTGCTGATTAGATTAAGGTAAGTAAATTACATAGTTTATTAATTAAGCTAACTCATTCCACCGCCCAGGCTACTTTACCCTGCGTCCATGGTTATCTGTAATGATATAATGGCTTATTTCTTTGGATTCTGCTTCGGAAAGACACCCCTAATAAAGGTAAGGAAATAATATGTGCGTGTACCATGCCAGTGGCGTAACGAAGGGCCCCACTGACCCCGCTGTGCGGGGGGGGGGGGGGGGGGGGCAAATCGTCGTTTGAATGTGGGACAATTTCGAAAACTTAACTAAAGTACTAGTAGCAAAGCTGCGCGTTTTGCTCTAGATACACGCTTTTTTAGAGATTTTACTGGCGTATCCTCTAAAATCACCTAATTTGTTCAATTTTAGGGAGGGGCACCAAAAGGAGAGGGGGCACCAACAGGGGGGGGGGGGCGCTTTTTCGGGGGGGGGGGGGGGGGGGGGGGGGGGGGGCGCCAACAGGCAACGTTACGCCACTGGCGTGTACTGTAACCATGGTTACCTGGTGTGTGTACTGACCAGTTGTTAACTATACATGCTATGTTCTAGAACATTCCTGACGTATAAGATATTTGTCGAAGTGATATTGTGTTGCTTTTATATATTATGGTATATAGTACAATATTAATATATGTTAAGAAATCATACCATTACTTATGATCTCTAGAAATAGATTTCGCATTACGCATATTTTTAGTTTTTGTGAGGGCTTCTGTTGCTAATGGGTACTCTGAAAGTTCTAGAAGCTTTAAAGTGTTCATATTGGTAGAAGTGTCGTAGCGTTTCTACATAGTTATCCCTCTCTAATATCATTAATTAAGAGATGGCCTGCGTGTGCTTTATAAAGACTATATAATATTATATCTTGTGTTATATACCATATAGATATTAGTTTCTGATGCGATATTCCTGCGCTCTTATGTTCTAGTATTGTCTATTAAATACTAACATGACATAATATCACATTATGTTATCATATTGTATATAGTTTTATGTTGTAATACATTTCAATTTTCAGCTGTCACCTAAGAAGACGTGGGAAGGTTTTATCGGCGGGTTCTTTGCTACAATGGTGTTTGGAGTTCTTGTTTCAAAAACGATGTACCAGTTTAAACATCTTATATGCCCTGTCGAGGTAATTACCAATTAGTTTCTTAATTAAACCTAATTGATTCGCAAAAATACAGTGGTTCTGTCAAGGTGTAAACGTGGTGTCACTTTTAGAATTACTATGATGATAATATGTAAACGGCAAATAAACGCACAGTGTAGTAATTTAAAGTGTAACAAATGTCTGCCAATTATCCATTTTACAGTTCTGCTATTCCTGCTTATACTTCCAATACTCTTATCTAATTAAATAAAATTAAATAGCTTGTTCCATTTTCAAATTACTAACTATTGTTCCAATCTTATTCCAACTCTGACAACAAAATGTTGATAATCATGGCAAACAAACGAATTTAACCCGGCAACTGTGTGTTCTCCATGAAATGGTGGCAGACTGCCTTCCTCCTCGATGACAATTCTCCTCAATAAGCCATGACAAACTTAAAAGTTGGAGATCTGAGAAAATTCCAGTGAATAACAATTTATGAAGATAAAGCTTTTGGTATATACGACCAAGTTACTCTTCAAATGCCACCAAATTTGATTACAAGTTACAAACTAGTTTCATATGGCTTTACGATGTATAGTTAAATATTTGAGCTTATGTAATGTGACGCCTCGTGTTAAAATAGGGTGCGTTGTTTGGCAAAGCAAGTTAGAACTAATAGTGGCAGTGTATTATTCTTTGTAAGCGGCGGCGCATTTAAAGTGGCCTACTTTCACTGCGCATTGCGCGCGCGTTTATATTATATATATATTTTATAATATAATTTAATTTAACGCGCGCATTACATTTCATTTTCGATCCGCACCGCTCGCTATAATGTATGAGCTATCGATCTAATATGTTAAAGCAAGCTAGACCGTCCTGCTCTGGTAAACTGAATTGTTTCGATTAACGATGCAATATAATACTTCGATCTAATTACTGCGACCTACAATTATATCTAACTATTGTTCACATTGAAGCAGATCCGTGTTACATACTCTAGACTGTTCATTTCATACGGTATTGAGCATTGACAGTATAACTGCCGAGCAATACAATTGTAAAGAACCAGTGAAACTTCTGTTCTTTGTGCAGGGCCCAGGCTAGGGTTGCAAGCCCACTAAACACCTCAGTACTGATCCATCACAAAGCTTACTTGATACTAAGTAACTAAGACATTATACATACGCTAACAATAACATACCAATGTTTCTTTGTTGAGTCATTATTATACTCAATAAGAATATTACATACTACAGAGTTTATTATTTTAGCCCCTTATTCCACTCTATAAGGAGTAACTTTTCCCTGTTTGGCGGTGATAGGAGTAAAAAATAAACACGTCACCATAAATTACAAGTTAAGCCAGCAATTAACCCAGTTAGTGAATGTAGGAACTGAATTCCTGTTAAAATAAATTGTTTACACGCGCACTAAAGACAGTACATTTCAGTATGATGGCTCAGCTCTGGTAATCAGCAACTGTGACCCAGGTTACGTCTTCAACCAGCAAACATTCGACCTTCCTCTGGGAATTCAGGGACTCCTGTCGCTGGTGATTACAATTTACAAAGCTCCTCTTAAGACCACGTGATAGTTTGTATTCTGTAGTTATTAAATACTAGAATTCTTAACAGCCTGATTCAAAGTGAATAGTCACGTGACACATTTCATCTCAAGTTGTGGTAGTACCAGGCTGTAATAATACACCCTTCCCGTGCAATTGGATAGTGAACTCAAGTTCTTATCAATATCCTCAGTTTGGTGTCTCTTGGAACACCGTCTCCTTCCGTCCTATACACTTCCATGGAGCTGTGATGGCCATGTTCGCTTCCCTCATTGCACCTTTCGGAGGGTTCTTCGCTAGCGGCTTCAAAAGAGCTTTTAAACTCAAGGTAACAATTTTCAGTGATAATATGTAGAATTTAGCGATCATTAATGAATTGCAGTTAGTGATGAAGGGAAACATATAGGGATAATTATTATGACAATTTTTGTACTTTGATCAATCATGAATGATGATGATAATCTTTCGACTTCGTCAGGATTTCGGAGATCTTATTCCGGGACACGGAGGTGTTATTGACAGGATGGACTGCCAATTCCTGATGGGCACATTCGTCTTTGTCTACTACTTCAGCTTCATAAAGTTAGTTTTTGCTGTTCTTATTATAACCTACTCCCCGTGTAACTGATGAATCGCCCAACGGGCCTTGAAACTGTCAGTGTTATGATGTATCACTTCATCTGACTTAATTTTCTAGAAGTAATGATCTATGATAAGTCACATTTCTTGCACAAAACGAGCTAATTAATTACAAATTTGGTGAAAAAGAAGGGATCGAGGTACCTGCTCTAGTATAGAGAGGCACGGTGTAGAGAGGTTTAGCTACAGGTTTAGCTAGAGTTTTAGAGGTTTAGCTAACTAAATATGGACCTTATTTCAGGAGTGTGAGCGTAAACAGCGTGATCCAGATAATTCATGGAATGTCAGGTGAAAGTCAGCTAGAACTCCACAAGACACTCGGAGACTTGCTCGCTACCAGAGGCCTCCTATAACCACAAGACACTCGGAGACTTGCTCGCCACAAGAGGCCTCCTTTAACCGTGGTGTTGTCATGGTTACAAGAAGTAGACTCTACTGACGCCTTAGCAACTTTATCTAAATTAAATTTGAGACACGTTTAAACTTCAGTTTGTGTCACGTGTGTAGTTGTTTTAAGCCGTGTTAAGAGAAGAATTTCTGTCACGTGCCCGGTTTTTGCTCTCAGTTTAAGTTTAGCAAATAGAAACTATAGTAACTAGTAACTATAGTAACTATAGTAACTATAGTAACTATAGTAACTATAGTAACTATAGTAACTATAGTAACTATAGTAACTAGTAACTATAGTAACAAGTAACTATAGTAACAAGTAACTAGTAACCATAGTAACTAGTAACCATAGTAACTAGTAACTATAGTAACTAGTAACTATAGTAACTAGTAACTATAGTAACTAGTAATTATAGTAACTAGTAACTATAGTAACTATAGTAACTAGTAACTATAGTAAATATAGTAACTAGTAACTATAGTAACTATAGTAACTAGTAACCATCCGTACTATTACAATATAAATGTGTCTTTGTATTCCCCCGTATGTATGCCGCATATTTAGCATATTTTATATGCTTAATATTTGTTAACCTGTCGATAGCCAGTCTAATTTGAGTAACGAAGTTGAATTTATTTAGAGTGGCCCAGAATATTCACGAACTTTCAGGGTCCAGAATAAGTGAGCAGTGGGCACTCTGTTGTGATCCCCATCCTGCGTGTAGACCATGACTATACGTTAATTCTGGGGTCACTCTTACTTTCCTCTCGCAGACAAAACGATATTATCAACTTGTATTATTATAAACGTGTGTTGGGCTATATGTGTTGCCATTGTGTACTTTGTTCGCTCAAACCTTTTATATTTGCAAGGCTACAAAACGAGGAGGCTATGATTTGTGCTAGGTTATTATTTTACCAGTACATACTACATACTTAATTAATTAGTTAATTAGTTAATTTGATAGTACCCCTGTTACATATTGCAGGATTATTCAGCAAGGTTTTTGTGGGTTTTATTAAGTAAGCAGTTAATACAAGTTTGTTTTAATGTGAAATATTGCAATTAGTACCACAGTGGTGTTACTGCATCTCGCTAAGGGCGCTAACTAAATCGCCCCCTAAAAATTGTCACATTTCATACCTTGACTGTTCCCCCAGTCTTGAAAACCAAAAATGCGTTTGATTTAGATAGTCAAGATAAGAGTATTGGTAATGTTTTCTTATTTAGAATTATATAGCGAGAAATCTTCTAAACCCTCAGTGAGTTAGTGTCAGGTTTTATAAATGACCTGAAAACTTAATGAGTTTAATTTAACTATTAACTGCATCATAAATAAACAGTAATATTGTACAATGTCCCATATTTAACCTGTGTTAAATGTTAAGTTATATTTATATTTTGCTTAAACTTTAAAAAGTGTTTGACTTATTATTGTTAATAGTTTTAAGCTCGTTAGTCCAATACTATCCACAGAATCTTACCGAGTGTGTCCTATGTTTTATTTTATAACCTCCGAAGTCCGAACTGCTCCAAAATAACTTAAACTAAATTAACGGGTATAATTATCACAAATAACTATAGTCAAGTCGTGTCGAGTTACTTTGGTTATCTCTGTTACACAGTACACACCTGTAGCCTGTAGTGTGTAGTAGTAACACTAACAGTAGGGTGCCATGTCACTTGTTCATTAATGAAACCTAAATTAGTTTGGCGTATTTCTCAAACTGCAATTACTGCAGTTCTTTGTGTTAAACATGCCTTTTGTCCAAACGTGATGTGAAGTCGGATATGAGGTGATATGAGGTCGGATATATGATATAGCTAAGCCTAAAGATCATTATTGAACCTGCAGTAAACCTCGTGATATGGGCACGTGAAAATATAGGTTTACTATTATTGGACGGCGCATTATTTGCTAATCTTTAAGTTTGCCTGGCACGCCATTCAGTCTCAAGTCTGCGCAGCGCTCTTTTCATTTCTTGCCATCCGTGCACGTGAGAGAATCGAACAATAAACTAGCAAGCTAGATAATACTATTATATTAGATAATACTATATATATTATATATACACGTTGCTTGACTCTTGTGTGCACGCCGGCCGCGCGGTGCGGCAATAAAAGTTATAAATAGACCTGACATTCTTTTGTCAAACATAATTTCTGCAAACAAAACATGACGACAAAAAGATAGAATAGGCTTTAAGCTTTTGATCCTGCTATTGTTTGCTACACATTGTATACCGCGCAAAAAGAGTTATACAGCGTGTGTCAAGCCATTATTGATCGCTCGCCCAAATTTTAAGAAAATTATTGTAAAAAGTCTAAGGTATGAAAGTAATCTAGTTCGATCTAATTCTATATTTTGGACGCTGATTCTGAATCACCCCCATGACCAATGACGTATATGTAGTATTTAGTAGGGTAAAATGCTTCGCTGGAGAGTTATGGGCAAAACACTGTTTTTGTCACGTGACAGGCTAGGCTATATAGTAAAACTAAAACACGAATTCAATTGTTTAGTGTTTAGCTAGCTGGCTTTGGTTAGTTAGGGTTAGCCGTTAGGGTCAGGTTGTGGTTACGGTTATGCATTATGGATAGCTTCGGGCCGGGTCATGGCTTGGGTTATAAAGTTGGATCTGGTCGTTGGGATAAGGGTTCATGTAAAACCTTTTTCATGGTTTTGTTCTGCTGCAAAACCATAAAAACCAAAGTCACGTGATAATTTTTGGACGAGCGAATTATTAATTAGAGATTTTAAGTATTTGTTCATTTTATTTTCCATTGATCAGTATCACTATTGTGTATTGACTAAACCTATTTGTATAGGAGTGGGCTATATAATATATGGCTCTTCGTCTTACTAATTCGCTCGCCCAATTAAACTATCACGGTACTTTTGGTTTTGCAGCCGAACAATACGGTTTTACATAAACTCTAATCCCAAGTCCCAACCCTAACCCTAACCATGTATGATGAACCTTGTATCATGATCACGTCGTGACCCCCATCACCCATTGTCGTTTCTATACTACGATATAATACAGGGGGAGCCGCGCACTCGTGCGCGGCGGGTCATAGCTGAATGATTATTTATATTCGAAACCCTAACCATATTATATATAATAAGTTAGGGACTAGGGTATAGTTATAGTCTTCTGCGAACAGTGTTATTTATTGATGTACAATTTGTACATGTAAATTCTTACCTGGGGACCTCAGGCTATTATGTTCATAAACATAAAGATTTGGCGGAATGACAGGCTGAGCGCAGCCCAGTAAGTAAATTCCGGAATTCCCGCACGCACCTAACTTTTGCGATATTTTGGATCACATTTGTACGCGACATAATTACAATTCTGAAAAGAAAACATCTACTGATAATGCTCGTCTAAATTTCTTCGATATAGCGCGCGCCGCTTTCTTCTCGAAATTATGTTAAGTTACCTGCTATTGATACATGTTTCGCGCGAAAAGTGGCATGCAACGTATGTCAAACCTGCTACGAAGTAACGCCAAGCGCATGCCGGGTCAGTCCATTGACAATGGACAATTTTCAAATGACAATGTCAAATTCGACACGGTTGCAGTTGATCACAATATGTTAATGTATGGTGCACCAAATTATATAATATATAACTAATACTATAACTATAACATATAACTAATACATATATATTAATATTATATAATATTGTCTTTCATATCGGTACTATTACTAATAATTACAAAAATGTGTGGGTGTGTGTATGTGTGATGTGTGTATGTGTGCACGTGTGTTATTTTCGAACGGCTTAATCAAGAAAACGGTAAAGTTGTGGAACTGGTTTTTTTCGGTATAGTTTCGACAACAGCTTCTGACGAAGCCGTTTTCTTTATACTTATAGTAAGTGGTTTAATTAATGGTTTTGTGCCCCAAATGTTGACACACTCTCTCTATCTCTCTCTCTTTCGCTCTCTCTCTCTCTCGATCGCCCCATGGGCTCATTAAATTTACAGCTCCCCTATAATTACAGCGTTGGTATACAGTATATAATTAGGTAATTTGGCAGTAGAGCTATAGATCCAGGATCGAGCCGCAATATAATAATATTGAATATTGCCTATTAAGTATTACTATTGTATTGGATACGTGTTGGGCGCTCAGAATTAAATTTACTCTAATGTGGCCGGTTTCAACTGAGCGAGTTCATGCTTTTGCACCGTTTTAACTTTTGCACCGTTTATTATTTACTTTTGCAATTCAACTGCGATAGTGAAGTCCCGGCCGTAGGCACGGGTTACACTAGTAGTAGAATTACATATATTAGCAATTAGTATGAATATATTATATATATATTCAATCTCAGCGTTATTGAGAATAATTCATGGTTACGAACTTACTTGTACTGGATTAGGTATCCTCAATCATTCAATTGGCCTGCACCAATGAACTCCCGTTTATGTCGTATCATCTCCCTCCAGTGTTTGCGGTCACTAGCCATCTCGCTCGTTCCTTATAGATCTATATCAGTGTTTCCTGAAAACGCTGCAGCATCTTCCAGCAAAAATTTCATCCAGTTCTTTCTTGGACGACCCTTAGATCTAAGCAGGTACTTAGGAAGCCTAGTGTCTGGCATTCTGGTGACATGGCCAAACCAGCGCAGGCTGTTTGCTCCTATATACGTCCCTACTGCATAGATTTATCCTTGCAAGCTCCAGCACTTTTGTCTTTCTAACCCGGTCGAGCCATTTTATCCTATTTATTCTCCTCAAGCAACGCTGATGGAACACATCAAAGCTGCTTTTTTGTTTTGTTCCAAACCTCACTACCATATAACAATATTGTCAAAACTGCTACCTCATAAATCCTGATCTTTGTATAAGACTTGATGTTGCGGTTTTTTCATATATTACTGAGTTGGTTGAAGGATCCGGAAGCTTTCTGAATCCTAGCAGACAGTTCACGGTCGATAGTGCTGTCGCTGGAAATAATTGTACCTAAGTATGTAAAGTCACTAACTTGCTGCACTGGCGTGTCTTCAGCAGTGATATTCACTGTGACTTCTTTCGTGTATGGCCGTTGAGAGGTTGCTTTACCAATTATACCATAGCCTCAGTCTTTTTACCATTGGTTCTGAGACCTCCCTGGGCAGTGGGCACCATACATACACAAAAGATCAGTTGTTTCTTGAAGACCTTCCTCGCTGTTATCCAGTACAGCCATGTCATCTGTATAATCCGTATCTAACAGTGATATCATCAACAAGCGGACTGATAGATCTTTGAAGAACCGCTCCGTGAGACACCACTTTGGTGCAATGTTGCTTTCCTGTTCTCTCAGCAGCCACATTGAGACAGACATTAAAAAGTGGGGGACCCTGAAAATCTCCTTGGCCACTGCCAGAACTTACTTCAAACCATTCTGACAATTCACCGTTGTGTCTGACAGCACTGACAGTTCGATTAAAGAATGCCTGTATAATTCGGATGTATTTACATGGCAGGCCATAATTATGACTGAAAGCATTCCAAATATAATCCCTGTCGATTGAATCAAAAGCTGCCTTGAAGTCTACAAAATATACACCCAGTCAATTTTGTTAATGAGATACAGAAAATGCTTGATAACTTCATCATTTCTAATCTGTTTTGCCTCATCTTTTCAGATCATATGCAACATTTAATACTCTACCGTCTCTGAAAAAATTAGGCGTTCAGCATGTTCAGAGAAAACAGTAAAGGTGTTTTAATATTGAATGGGCGTGGTCTAAAATATTCGAATTTTCAAATTTTGACGACGGAATCCTCGAACCAGTAAGTACAGAATGCCATCTGCAAAGCAACAGCTCTCAAATATAAAACATGGTGGAGCTATTAAGGCCAACGTATGCCCACTGACTTTTTGCCCACCCTGTATAAACAGGGGGAGATTATTATATTCAAGGCAGTTATGTATAATAATGGTGATATAATGGTGCGGAGTGAATAAATCTGATCAATGCATGACCTGTTCTTCCTAAACCCACACTGATTGTTTCGTAGCAAACCTTCTAAACCGTCACTCGTGCGTTGTAATATGACGATTTGATACAATTTAGATGCTGTAGATCTAATAGTGAACCCCATTATTATTGGAGCAGTGGGATGTTAACTTAATGCCATCTTCGAGTTTTTTATTGAGCCCCTTTTTGATCTTCGGCTTCCTAATCCTTGTTGTATCGCGTTGAATATAGCTAACTGTATTTAATTTTAAAACTGTCTTCAAAGTATTACAATTAATCACAGAAAAATGGTGACATGATATTGATGATGAAGAGGGCACTACAACTTTGGGTTTTACTGTTGGTCCCCTCTTGTGTTTCTTTAATTCCTCAAGGTTAGTTTTTAGCATGTACAAGTTTAATTATTAATGAAATATTCATTTAGTTTGTAAAAATAGAGCTATCACTAGTTTTTATTTGTAGCATTAAAATTAAACACTTGTAGTTATATTTATAGCTAAACCAGTCGTGTGCAGGATCAACAGAGGACGAGATCAAAAGTATCGTGTTTTCCAATACGAGTAGCAGCGATGGCAAACTCATTAACAAACGGGACACTGAGACAACAGACCCTAAACTGGAGCCACCACGAGACCCTAAACTGATGCCGACACAAGACACTCCTGTACCATCTAGAAGTGCTCTTGCTAGAAGTGAGTTAAGAGTTTATCTAATATTTAATATTATTCACAGATTAAAAATCACATTTTCTACCATAACTTTAAAAGGAAGAATTTTAGGGTGTTTTTATATTCATCACAGTGCTGCCGCTGGCATGCACGACCGTCGCCCTTCTAGTTCTACTCACTATACTACTATTATACCTCTTATACTCTTTCATTCAAATTTCTGATTGTTTCTGAATAGACTCAGTGAAGAAAGATTCTAATGGAAATAAATAGCTGAATAACGTATCGACATTTCTACGTCTACTTCAATTATAACGATCAATATTTACATTAAATATTTGATCTCCTATACTGTTATATACCCCCTTTACTGTTTTTCCTGGCATTAAGACTAATGTCAAAAGAAGTCGTTCAGCAGGTTTATTTTAACCCATATTCTTCCACGGTACTTTTAAAAGTACGGTTCATAAATAGTGACCTAACTTGTCTCGTGACTAATATTTTTTGATGCAGTTTTTTGAAAAAAAACGGACTGCTGATGATTTTAACACCCTAACCAGATGGTTATAAAAAGCGGGAGATTTATAGGAAGTTGGCAAAGGTGGTCAAAAATGGTATTTTTAAAAATGGTAAATTCTCGGTACCACAAGCCAATTCTCCAACTTTGATGGATCCAAAATTTGGTTTCTTAATATTGCCTAAACGAGTGTGCAATAAATACCTCATCGCACCTTATTTGGACGGACATTAATTGAACGCTGGAGGCCCTAATGTTCATCTTAATGTCCGTTCAAATAAAGTGCGTTCATTTAAGGTCCGTCCAAGTTAAAGTCCGTTGAATTTTTTTCAAAAATTCTTCCACTTTGAACTTTTTGTCCAGAATTAAATATGACAACTATGAGAACTATTGTGCCGTAAGTTAACGACGGAAAGGTTCTCCTTGGTCTGCCGGGGGCACAGAAAACTCTACTAGTACTACTACTAGTATATCATATATGATGGCTTAGTGGCGCACTTCGTTAGTCGACCTGCCTTACTCGTGATATATGCTGCTCAATCACGAGGTTCTAAGAGAATAACAAATGGGTTTACTCCAGCCCGGCCAGAGTGTGTTGATAAAGTGGATGGATCAGACTACAGGGGAAATGTATCTGTCACAGCATCAGGACACGTCTGCCAGAGATGGGACTCTCAATCACCTAATAAACACAGCATAACTCCTGAGGCGTAAGTTTTCTTTGTGCTTCTAAGGCACAACAGGTATTAGCTAGTCTCACCCACAGGCGGCCACAATATAATACGGCATAATCCAGATTTAGATATATTCTTATCCAGATTATTCGGATTTTGGAAGATTAAAAATGTACTCTATTAAATTGAGCGTCCTAAATCATTTTATACCCAAACTTCGAAATGTTTCTAAAATGGCTCTCGACAGAAGCCAAATTCAAATTGTTAGTTACGATTCACAATTAACACTATCTACTTTAGGAAAATAGCTTATTACAAAAACATTTTCAGATACTCTGATTCAGGACTGCAAGAGAACTATTGCAGAAATCCAGACGGGTAAGTCTTTAATATCTGATATCTGGTAGTGTCCCATAATCATTGTCATCAAGTCGAGCACAAGGTAGGGGCACAAACATTTATTGTAGATTTAAGTAAAATCTACAAGTACAATGAAACTGCAATGAAGGGGCTTTGCAATATAAATGATCTGTGAAATTTTGTTTAACTTTTAGAAATTCTTCATTTATATGACATGTGTCGTCATTTTCCTCAGTGAATCAAGCGCCTGGTGTTTTAATGCTGAGGGAACTGTGCCTCGATGGGAGTACTGTGATGTACCTACATGCAGTGGTAAGCATTTTGATCTTCAAACTAAATCATAAATACTCATAATATTATAGCTGAGATCATGTGTGGCGGGTGTCTATAATCTCTATACTCTCAGCTCCGAAATTTGAAACTTGATTACGGTTGATTACGGAGGGGGGAGGGGGTAAAAATTGCTAAAATATTAATTACGTAATATGTTAACGACCCCTAACTCGTTTTTCATTGATCCAATGATATAGTTTAGTCCGAATCCGGTAAGAAACCCAAGATCGCCATATTTATAATAAAGGTACCTTAAAAATCATGTTAAAATTTAGTAACAGGGGTGTGCGCCGCCGCCGAGTTTTTTAGCCCACGCCGCTGCGCCGAACAATTTATCGGCGGCGCAAACGGCGTGAACGTGGTATTTTTAAAATTTGAATTATCAAAACATTACTCAAAAAAATTTAATAGGGGTAGGCATAATTGCTGGATATAATTATAAAATCCCTCTAGCATGTCTGACGTCAAGTAGTTCGATGTAGCATACCTTAATTCCCAAAAATTTGGGCGACAAAAAATTTGAGCGGGCCTCCGGCCTCTCGCCCAAATTTTTTGCAGACCAAATTAATTGCATAAATCTTTTCCGTCTGCTAAATTTTTTGCTAACCAAACTTTTGGCATTTGGCCTGTGGCCCTGAAATCTATAGAAAGATGGCTTTTTCTTCATATCCAAGTGAAATAATATTTGAAATTTGTGTTTTCTATTTCTGCTTAAAATTGAAAGCAAAATGACTGGAATAATAAGGAATATAATGAACTAAGGCAAATATCTAACTGAAATTTTAGTGGAAAATCGTTCATTTTTCGAAGAATTTGTGCCCAAATTTTCGGTCGCCCAAATGAGTTCAAATTTTTTGCCCAAATTTTTCGGGCTCAAATAAATTGTGCTCAATATAATGGCACACAAATTTTTGGGAACTAAGGTATGCAATGTTTCATGAAATTGTGAATTCCTGTCATACGATCAACGATGAATTGAAGTGAAATTTGCAACTGTCTAAACCTTATAAATACTAAGTCAATCCTTTACCTAAGCAATGAATTTCCATTTTGTCGAGTCACAACTGAAACTGCCAATTGTCCACAGGCAACGCCGCCGAACGCTGCCGCCGCCGCTAATTTTGGCCACGCCGCCGCCGATTTTGGTAGAACACGGCGGCGCACACCACTGTTGAGTAAGAAATTTGAAAGTTTGCAGGGCGTCTAGACTGCAAAAAAGTTTCAAGTTTTTAGAAGTATCGGGAAGTGGGTTTTCTGAAACCCCGTTTTGCAACAGATTGTCGTGAAGTAAATCAATATGTATCTATCTATAAATATAATGAATTTGACCAAAACCCATAATTGGGTAGAGTGGACTGCTGCCAGTGTTTCTCTTTCCCAAACAAAAGGAAATCTGTTTACTTTTATCATTTTGAACTAGTACAGGATTTTTTTACTACATTTTTTATTTCGCCGGCACGTAATACAAACAACTTGCTCAGGTTGCGTCAGCTTGCGACATATCAACGAGAAAGTCAAAGAACGCGGTAGCATACCTTTAGGGGACAATTGCTATATAATAAATATAAAAGGATTTTTGAAAATAAGTTGCGGACAAAGGGGACTCAAATGTCTTAACTCGGACATCTCGTACCTTTACGTCAAGGATGATTATTTTCTAATAAATGTGACCAATGTGTGTAAAGGAGACCCACACGTTTACCAAGCATGCGGCCTCAGCAGGAGTGGGACGTATTTTTCATCAAGTGGCTTCACGGAGTTGTGTGGAGGCTATTTCGAGGAGGAAGAAGGGCCATCTCGTTTTGTTAGGTGTACTAGATACAGCGGCAGTTGTGACACAGCTGATGAGGTCAGGTCTGACTCAGACGCTGAGGAAGAGATCACAAATGTTTGTGACGATAAATGCGACGCGTACGGCTGTGAAGATGAAAGTAGGTGTAATGGATACACTTACGGGATGTATTGTAACAATAGTTATAATGGCAATTACAGTTATGTGTCCCCGGAATACATTTGTAGTGGTACTTGGAGAGTGCAGTGTGCTAACTCGGAGGACGAGTTGAACTGTGCTGTTGAAGATGACAGTACTCTTAGCACATGTCTTCATTACAGACAAAAAACGAGTTTTGGAAGAGACGTCACTGTTCCCATATTTAACAATACTAGGTGCAGTACCTTTTATTTATATCAACATTCGGATTTTAGGACTTATCCGTACTGTTACGATTACATGGACCAAACGAACTGCAGTGATGTTGACAGAGTAGGTGGTTACTGTTTAGTCAGGGGTCACCTGTCCAGTGTTTCAAAGTACGTGGTTTGTGGGGGAGGTTTTCAGAGGACCATTTATGCTAATCTGTGTGACAATAACTTGGAAAATACATGTGAGTATCCATCTAAGTTACACCTTGACTGTCTAGTTCACAAACACAGACTCTGTGACGGAGTTGCTGACTGCATTGATTCTAGTGACGAGACCCTTGAAATATGCTCTCAAACGACAGCTGGATACCTGAGTTGTACTCGCAGTTTTAATGTAGATAAACACATGGAGATACCAGTCGCCTGGTTGATGGATAACCAAACTGACTGTCTGGATGGAGAAGATGAAGATCTGGAGGTTCGCTTCTGTGGAGGTAGGACTGGTTACTACGCTGAAAGATCAATCATAGGAAAAAAAACCTGTCAAGACGTTCTCTTGTGCTGGCAAGGCTATGTTGAATTTGATTCTCTTTGTGATGGTGTCAACTCTTGCGCACTTGAAAACAAAATTTGCGAGATTTCGCGAGATTTCCCAACCCTCAAAACATCGGCTGTGATTGAAAACTGCTCAAATCGTGATTTGTGCACCTGGATAGGACCACCTGAAAATGAAGCTTGTCACATCAGGAAATTTGAAGGACCTGCGGGCGATGTTTTCGGTGTCAGCACCCTGTTGAATGTTCCTGCTGCTAAAGTAGACTGTAACCATCTGTTTGGCGAGTTCTATGTTTACCTTAGTTACATGGGTCTATGTATAAACTCCCGTTGTCCTCTCCACGATCAATCCTTAAGCTTTGATGCGTGTCCTGGACAATACCCCGAGAGAGTTTACACCCTGGCCAACAACTCCCAACTGGCTTTTGTCACATTGTCCGAGGAAGGTGAATACCAAAATGACTATTTCCAATGTGATAACGGCAAATGTATAAAGTACAATCAGGTTTGTGACCTTAGAAACGACTGTGATGATATGTCTGATGAAAGTAACTGTTCCAACCACATGGTTTGTGAGAACACCAAGAACAGGACAGATGTCATGCATCAGATAATACCTCTCTCTCAGAAATGTGACGGTATTTTCGACTGCTTTGATTTGTCTGATGAGTGTAACATGTCCTGTGGGAGAGAAATTCTCAACAACTTGCTGCTCAAAGGTATCTGCTGGCTTATAGGTATTCTAGCGCTCATCTTCAACATCGTCTCAGTGACCAAGGTTGCAATGAGTACTTCAGAAGGTGAAACGGGTAGTTTGCTGATCACAAGGGGACTTGTTTGTCTCATTGGAATTGGAAATTTCATCGTTGGGATCTACTTGATTGTAATATCCATCTTCGATAGCATCGTCTTTGGAAAAGTCTTTTGCCAAAAACAAGCAGAATGGTTGACGGGCAGTGCTTGTGCCGTTTTAGGAGTATTGAGCACCACTGGAATACAGCTGTCCCTCTTTGCTATGACTGCATTGAGTTTGATGAGGTTGTCACGTGTTATGACCGGCTCTTACAGGGGCTACAAAAAAACAACACTTTTTGTGGTTGTTGCTGCTTCACTTGCAATTGCTTTTATACCTCTGTTTAAACGCGGGGAAGACCATTTTGTGTCGGGAATTTATTATGATCCAGAGTACAAGCTTTTCGCTGGCTTTGTGAATAAATTCAGGCACTCCAAGATTTTCCAGACATATTACAATATGTCAGACGTAGTACCAGTTAACAAGGCGGTGTGCGAACTACCCGGATGGTATGAACACGAACAAAGTCACCACAGAGAATCACGGACATTGTCCTTGGATCCTGCCTGGTACGTACCTCTGTACCAGGCTCTCACGTGGAAGGTGATCGGGGAGAAGGTTGACGGCATGTTCACCAGAGATTTCGGCAACTTGAGTAGAAGTGCTGTTCACTTTTATGGAAATGATGGCGTTTGCCTCTTCAAATATTTTGATCGTAGTGACGATGCAACGAGGAGCAGGGAGGAAATAGAAAAAAACAGCAAAAGCTTCGTTTGGTCCATACTTGGCGTCAACCTATTTTGCGTGATCGCGATGATATTGTCTAGTATTGTAATCTACATTAAACGTCGCAAAGTAGACGATGAGGATACTGGTCGTCAAAACCGGACAGTTTTGCAAAGTTTCTTGATGATGATCGGGGCATATGCTACATGTTGGCTGCCATTTATGCTCATAAGTTGCCTCCACAATCTTGGGTTGATTGATGCCACAGACTGGTACGCCACTTACGCTCTGACAGTACTGACCATCAACGCTGTGATAAGCCCACTTCTGTATCATAAGACCATACGTGAGTTTGTCGAACCAAGTCTAGGTTCACCCGGTGATGAGGCAGGAAAGAAGCAGAGTGGTGACGACCAGGAAGAAGGGGAACCTCCTGATGAAGGAGATATTAACTTGGAAGCAGTGTTGTAAAGGAGCAGATTATAAGGTAGGTTTATAAGATAAGCCTACTGCTCTCACCATTCTTTCATCTCTGCATCTGAATTCTGACTATACTACTTCTCACTATATCAATTCTGCTCACCTTGTAATAGTTCACCTAAAAACTTTAATTTTCAGGATGCAACAAATACTCGTTTTTACCCATACAATGTATGAACGAAAAATCAACCTCTGCAAAGCGGATATTCTTCTTCTCTGAAAACAAAGTAAATTTAGTTAAAGATAAGAATTAAGATTATGATGGCTCCAAATGGTGACAAGCTCTTGACAGAAATCCACCGTATGCACCAGAAGAAATACAATTTAAAGATACTAACTATCCGAGGATATCTAAATGGTCAAACTTTTGCGGAGGTTCAAGTACATGAATAAACTCTGCTAATTGTAAATTGTGGGTCACAAACCCGAAATTCAGTTATTGTACAGTTTTGTGCATATTTGGTTTAAGACATTCTTGGCCTTATTAACCTAATATTTAGTATAGATTCTTTAGGAAGCCTAATTTTGTCTACTATGAAAATGCAAAACGTTTAATAGGATAAATATTGTTGATATACATTATACAGGGTACATAGATTCTAAAAATATAAAATTTGTTCGTTGCGTACCTATGCTAAGAAAGGGAATCATCTCGTTCATCTTAAACTTGGGCTTTTGATTTTTTCCTTTTATTTTTCACCATGGAAAGATCTCGTTGTCACAAGTTGCTTTATACTAATAATATAAATATGACGATTTTCATAGACAATGATTATATACTGAGACTAGAAACCAGTTGAATAGCAGAAAATAATATAATCTCATAAATGTTGTTTTTACTCGCCCTGATCTGACTATATTTCTTGGCCTTTCACTCACACTGTAGTTTTAAATATATGTGATCTTGTGATGGACGATGGTGCAGATGCTCACTTAACTCTTTCAAGATGCAGAACTCAAACTGATGTAAGATATCATTAAGTGATAGCGTATATTATAGAGCATTGCTGATTGCTGATTATTCTTATTAATATCTTTGCTTGGAGGGGGATTTGTTTAAAACATATAAGTGATACGAAAAGTTTGTTTTAGCAGGAGCTTTTGCTGGAGTAACAAAAGACGATTTTGTTGTTTTTTTTCATTTTTGCTATTTGTTGTTATTTTTTGATAAAAGGTTATTTAGTTTATCTGTAAAGGATGTTTAACTTGTCTTCTTAACTTGGACGGTTTACTCTCCTCCTCCTCCTCCTCCTCCTCCTCCTCCTCCTCCTCCCCCTCCTCCTCCTCCTCCTCCTCCTCCTCCTCCTCCTCCTCCTCCTCCTCCTCCTCCTCCTCCTCCTCCTCCTCCTCCTCCTCCTCCTCCTCCTCCTCCTCCTCCTCCTCCTCCTCCTCCTCCTCCTCCTCCTCCTCCTCCTCCTCCTCCTCCTCCTCCTCCTCCTCCTCCTCCTCCTCCTCCTCCTCCTCCTCCTCCTCCTCCTCCTCCTCCTCCTCCTCCTCCTCCTCCTCCTCCTCCTCCTCCTCCTCCTCCTCCTCCTCCTCCTCCTCCTCCTCCTCCTCCTCCTCCTCCTCCTCCTCCTCCTCCTCCTCCTCCTCCTCCTCCTCCTCCTCCTCCTCCTCCTCCTCCTCCTCCTCCTCCTCCTCCTCCTCCTCCTCCTCCTCCTCCTCCTCCTCCTCCTCCTCCTCCTCCTCCTCCTCCTCCTCCTCCTCCTCCTCCTCCTCCTCCTCCTCCTCCTCCTCCTCCTCCTCCTCCTCCTCCTCCTCCTCCTCCTCCTCCTCCTCCTCCTCCTCCTCCTCCTCCTCCTCCTCCTCCTCCTCCTCCTCCTCCTCCTCTGTTCGTTTAAAGGTTTCAGCGTGTGTATGATGCGGACTAACGTGAGAACGTGTTTACGATCTACCACAATTTCGCAATATAGTACAAATTTTACCACAATTTCCGTATCCATCCGTTATTAATGCCTTAACGGTCGATTTCAAAATTATTAGACGCTCTGAGGCGTTAATTTTAAATTAAAGCTATTATTCAGGTTTCCTTTCATAAAGCTTTTAAGTTGCTGCATTGAAACGTTTAACTGTTTAATACTGCTAATCACATTAAATGTGCTTAAATTTGAACTGTGTTCAAGCTTTGTTGGTTTCATCTGCATGCCAGGGAACTTTCACGTTTTATCGATATATTGTTTTATGTTGTAACATTTTGTTATATCTTTATATGCTATTGAATGTTGTAATATTTTGTTGTAACATGTTATATGTTGTCAAATGCTGTCATAAATTATTTTATGTTGTCATATGTTGTCATAAATTATTTTATGTTGTAATAATATGTTTCTATATTATATATATCTATATATTATATTATACGTTTGATTGAGGATCCGGCAATTTTCAGGTCTACAGTAAAGTTATAAAAATAATGTAACTCTCTTAGAGGGTCACTCCAACGACTTACAAGTGGCATATCTCGCGAAATTGTATCTATATTTTGGTGAGATACGTTCCAGTGTTAGGTAGATGGCTGAGTAGAATATGCCCTATCGTAGTAAACGCCATCTTTAATTGTGACACTGTGACGTGCCGTTCGACGGACTGCTCGCCATCTTAATTTCAATGATTGGTACCCTTCTCTATACCCGTCTTATGTTTTAATTTAAAAAGTTTAAACCTCGGTTTAAATTTACAGCCGACTCTACTTGGTTGCCTTATATTATACTAGAAACCCGCTAGTCGAAAGCTTTGTTCAAGGAAATTTAAAAATTCATTTATGTTTACATTTCTCTAATATCTTCACCATAATTTAGCTCTAAGCTCTGTATGTAGAAAGTATGGATTTTATTTGACAATGACGACTACGTTGTAAGTATTCGGATATGATTTCCTAAACGAATATACTTTTTACTGCATCAAAAAATATCAATCACAACCAATGTTATGAATAGTAACTTAGTAATAATCTTGAGCGTAAATGTGAGCTAGTCATGATTTATCACAAAGCATGGCAACGTGCGTTGCTAATCTGTGGTTGCTCGCGCACGTGCAATCTCTTGATGTTGCTAAGCAATGACGCAGGTAATTCCTTTGCTAAAATAACGCCATTATTCTAACGTTTATTTTACCTCACTTCCGACGTTAATTATAGAAAATCTAAAGCCTTAATCAAAATTCTAAGAATGCTATATTCTATTCCTTTCCTTTTTTACAACCCTGCTAAAAATGGCTAGGTTTCAACTCCATTTGCGAGCAGAAATCGGTCACGCCAGAGGCGTCTTTTTTCTATGTCTGGGTCCCCGTTGCTGGGGGGATTTCGTCAAGTTTAAAATATAATATAGATGTATCTGACAGCTAGTTGTCTCAAATCTGCATTGTTTATAGACCAGTTTTTAATTTCAAGTTGTTTGGACAGGTCTAAGAACATGAATTTCTTTAAAGCGATTTGTATAGCAAACTGAAGAGTATGCGCTTAAGTGTTTCCTAACCTATAAAATCTACTTAAAGATTTAATCGTGCTGACAACTCGAAACATTAAAAAACATTTGTTTAGACCTGCACATGGCCTCATGAAAATCATTTTCATAATACAATTTTACCGAATTTAGATCAACGAGATCTTTCAGTAAAGACCTCTCGGCCCTTACGGGTTAGGAAAAAAGGGTGTAAGACTGTTAAATACAATGTCACAATTGTACATATTATAATGACTTGCTTATGATAAAGATTTGAAGAATTTCGATGAAAATATTCACTATTCAATTATATAACATATGATTCATGCGTAAATTTGACTGCAGAGATGAAACACAATTGAAACCTCGCTCTGTCATGGATCGAAAAGTTGGCAAGTTCACCATATCAAGGTTAGTTCACCAAATCAAGGGTAGTTCAGCTTAGTTAACTTTTTAAGAACCAGATTAGTAATACTTTTTAGGAGTACTCATCTAACAACTAATCAAGCGACTAAAATTATTTAATTTTGAAATTATTCCACCTGCAATCATTCGTTTAATAATTTTGTCCCTATTTCTCTACGTGAAATACTTTTTTGCTGACCCCTTTAGATCCCACCAGGACTTAACTCTTGCCCAGTTCATTACATCAAATTACGAACAGACTGATTGGCCATGGAACACCCTGAAAGCGTTTTGACACTATATCATTACAACAAAAACTTTAAACCTCACAGTTTCATGGCACTGATCCTGATTCAATATACTGGAAATTAGCAACTTCACAACGTTGAGCTCGTTAATTAGTTAATAAGTTAATTAGTTAAATGGTCGTTACGATTAACTTTTCGCTTAACCTTCACCTTGTTCTTAGTTGCTGCCACCTTTCCTCCAACGTGATTTTCTGTCGGGGATAGTCCAAGAGACAGGTCCAGGTCACTTTAGACTTTTGTTTAACGTCATCGGGGCGCATTTATTACATTATTTAGCTCATCTAGCTGCGGAATAACAAGATCTGTGTTTTAGTGTAATTCTTATAACCCTCTTACTTTACTGTACGGAGCAATTATTAAAGTTAAAGGAAGATTATAATTGCTATGATCTCGACCAGATCAAGATTAACTAACATTGCTGTGGTCTGTCCCTCGACTTGGTAGTCGGGAAAGTTGCCCTTGGCTTGATAATATAAGACTTACCTGTTGAATAATTCAGCTGGCTTAGTTAAATCTGGCGGTCGCATCTCGCTAAAGAAAGCAGATGCGGCTTTTATGCGTTGTTAATAATGGCCAAGAATTCAGATAGGTAGATAACAAATCACGTAATCTCGATTTACAAGCCCTGATGTTGCAGGATATCTCCATTTTGTATAACTTCAGTCCAGATTTCATCCCTCATTACAAATCCCTGTTTAGTGTATGTCTAATGTCAGCACTTTTAAGTATGGAAGCTCGTGCATTTTTGTATATCATAGAAACGAAGGGCTGAACGATCTTACACGAACGTTATTTTACAAAAACCTCCGATTTTAAGGATTTTCATTCTTGAAATCATGTAAAATCGGGTCTTTAGTATTTAGTACGATCACTTTTTTTTTCAAAAGAATCGTTGTGACACTGGAATCTTGCCAAAAAAGGACTGTAATTAAATGAGTACGTTATGATACAACTTTTAATTAGTCCCAGCTCTATCTTTCCGCTCGTTTTTTCCTCAAATGGTGAACTCCATAGCTTATATGAACATGCTTAACGTTATAAATTAATAACTTTAAGCGGCAACGTGGCCTCATCCCTTAACTGCTCCAAATTACACTAAAACTTCCTGAACATAAGATTATATTATATTGCCACAACTTCCCAATTCTCACTTGCTGTATCTCGTTTGTCTGTATAACACGGTGAGTTTTCAACGATGAGCTTTATTTCTGCTAGTTGGAGTGACCACTCTGGTTCCACCAGTGGCAGTAGTTCCCCATCTCAGTCTAAGTTACCAACGCCTGCTGATAATCTCAACGTTCTCACGATGACCTTGAAAAGGGGCATGTTAGGGTGGATGGTTTTTTAATCGTATTTATGGAATTGGTACCGTTGTAAAGCTTACATTATGACAGTTCAGATGGCGAAAGTTTTATCGAAAATGGACCAGTCATTGTTCTGGAAATAACAATAATATCAATTGAGTAAACAATAATATCTATGGCCAATTTAACCATATTAAGAAATGTGGTCGACGATCCAGTATTGAGCATATGTGCAATTGTGCGAGTACAGTATTCTAATTGCCCCCTTCGAGCAGCTAAGGTGCGTCTTACTAGCAGTCATGTGACCGAGATCACGTGATAACACCTTTAACTAACTTATAGCCCTGAGGATCAATTGGTACAATGCGTATTGAGGTAAATTGGTCGGGGTAGCTGTTGGAACAGTGAAAGACCAAAATATTAGATGTTAACCCTGAGCAAATTGTAGCTTGTAGTTGTACATTTAATATAATCAATAATACTACATACTACCTTGTCGGACTTTATTTAAACGGACTTTAGTTCATAGTTGGATGCTAGAAGCCCAAGTTTACAATTTACCTCGGAAATTTATCTCGTACCGTTTTAAAACCAGATCTCGGAGAAAGGTTCACCTTAGAGTATTTTAAACCTAATTCTCGGTCAGACGTTTTACAATCTCCGAACAGTGTGACTATAATTATTTGGCCAGTTGGTAGATCACCGACCGGCTATAAGCCGGCTACTAACCGGCTA